AAAAAAAACTCCTCAAACTGACAAGGACAGGCTCGGTGACCATCAACGGGGAAGAATAGGCAGGACACGAAACATCAAGCCAAAACGGAGAGGCACCGACGAGATATTCATCACCGGACCCGAACACCTCGCCTTGCGGGCTACCGTTGGGGGAAGCCATCAAGTAAACAAAAGGAAAAATCCAGCCGAAATATCCATCGGCTCCAACCCGGATCCAGCCATCCCATCCGGATGGCCTGAACCACAAGAGCCACTCAGAATTTCTTTACATATGAGGAGACTCGGTCCGGACGTCCATTCGACTCTATTCTCCAATGCCAGGAAATCAATTCATACGACAATCAAGGACTGTTGATGAATGGTGCCTGCCTGGAATTTGGCCTCAAGGCTAAAAATCCCTATAAAAACCCCGGACAGTCTACCCTCCTGCGTGGATTTGGGAACACCTATACCTTTGAGTATAGACCCCTGTCCACCCAGCGCTGCGCTGTTTGTTTTATTGTGGTTTTCCTCATTGTTTATTTTTTATAGAAATTGTTTTATAATAAATTGTTTTTATTTAACCCAAATCTGCCTTTGCATTTATAACACTTTGAAGCTCAGTGTCAGTCGCAGTGATGCTAGGAAGCAGATGCTGTCATGTGTATCCCACAGAGTTAGTGTATCTATGCCTGTCAAGGATTTCCTGTTTGTTGGTGTGTGAGCAGCCACGTCCGTGCACACATACCCACTTCTTGTGGAGTTCCTGTCCATGTGAATCAGAACTGTGTGGTCAGGCTGCCTGCTGTTCCTGATACAACACAAGTGGAGCTGTTTTCTGTTCATCTCTTTTCCTTATTTGTTGAGGCTACTGAAAAAGCTGATAACTGAAAGAATGGGGAAAATACACTTACTGGTATAAACAAAGGAATTAGTGATTTTTATGGGGGGGATGGGTATGAATCACTATGCTGTGCAGTGAATAAATGTCATAATTCTGTCTGCTTGAGTTTATTAAGTCATAGCTGGAGGTATTCTTCACACCATTCTGTTTTAGGAGACCTTGGGACCTTGAGTGGTTTTTTTCCCTGTCAGCTGAGCAATCTGCTTGACAACCACAAACAAAGACAGGATCTTTTTCTCTCTTGTCTGGGAAGCTCTTCTTCGAAGCTGAGCTTTGTATTACTCAAGCTTGGTGTCCTCTGCTTGGCACATCATCGAGTAATTCAGACTGATTTACAGTGTTGCAAACATGCAGTGTGTCTGCACAAGGCAGAACACTGGCATGTCATCTTTATTAGGATGACATTTGTCTTTTGGGAAAGTGTACTCATCACATCATCCTCATAGCAGCGTGTGTTGTGGCTCAGCAAGAACAGCTTTGGCAAAGAAGTCAGAAAGAGGAACTGGGAACTCTACAAATCTTCAAAGTCCTTACACCACAGACATAGTTCACTTGCTGCATATTCTGAAATGGAATACTTGCATTCACCTGGCAAAGACATTTGAGTTTCAGGTCTCTGAAATGGTGCCCCTGTTTCTGTGAGATAGAAATTTGCTGGCCAAAATAGTGTAAACAATCATGAAAGCATATGTGTTTTTTTTTCCTTTCTAAGCACAAGTGTTTCAATTTAGTTTAGGTGATCTGTTGCTTTGTTCTAGTGAAGAATAGGGCTTTCTTCTGATTTGCTTGCTATGTTTCAATATGGCTTCATAACATAAATTTGTTTGCTTCATAGATCCATCACTGCTTCATCTAATAGGGATGTTGGAGCAAACTGGCATCCCCCTGACCCTCCCCCACCAAATTCTGCTATTTTTTGCTATTAATCCTAAAATATCCAGAACTCTTTTGCAGCAATGGATCCATGCCTAGCTTTTTGTGCTATAGCTGCTAAACCCCTCATAGTTCTTTTGTATTATTCTTCCTGAGGCAGGAAAACTAATTTGATTTTTTTTTTTAATCTTTATTCTGTGTTTAAATTTGTTCTGGCATAACCCACCTCTGAACATTTAATATGACTTCTGCATCTCCAGGCATTATCATAAATGCATGTTATAACAACCAGAGCAAGTAGGGTAAATCCAATACTTTAGGTATGCTTTATGTGGAACTTTACCACATTTTTGCATTCAACTAACTCTGGGACTTTTTCATTTTCTTGAAGTCCTATTCCACCTCTGGGGAAGGTAATTTTTGTTTTACTGTTAATATGTGTAGGAAATTTAAGAAATGTACATGGGCTTACAGAGAGTTGGATTATACCTCAAGAGACTCTCAAAATGGATTTCCTGCATTTAAAATTGTGCTGTTTAGGTAATATATTAAATACATTAACATTTAGGTGATCTCTGTTTTCCACTTTTAAGAACAAATATGCAGTTTAGTGGACAAACATTTGGAATTTGCTGCAGCTCTTTTCAAGATGGTTCTTTGGAAGACATGATGTCTGCTTTGAAATTTTGGTGTCTTTTTTTATTAAAGGAGAATTCCTAGTAAGAGATACTATTCTGCCTGCAATAATAATGATTCTTATTATACACAGAGAATCAGATCTGTGTGTACAGTCTGTAAAGGACCAGTGATTGTAAAGCACTGGCCTTTTTGAAACAATTAATCAGTCTACACGTGCATTTGTGAAAACAAATAATGTAAGATAAATTATTTATAATTATAAATACTTCTCTATGACGTGTAAGAGAATAGATAGATGTATAGAAATATAGATGATACACATATATAAGTATTTGCAAGATTAGAGCCTGAAAAAGAAAATTAATTCTATTGAAAACACTAAAAGGAACGGAAAAGTTTATTCTAGTGAAAGAAAATTTTGTGATTCAATACAAACTTTGTTTTTTGCAGAGGCAGCAGGATTGTGACTTACACTTACACAGTCAGCAACTGGAAAAATGCCAGATTCTGAAAGTAATTTGCGGTCTTCACATGAAGATGTTGTAAATGGTACTTCCGTCTTGAATGAAATGAAAATTTCTGATGAAAAGGGATCTGCTGGAAAAAAAACAGTGACTCAGATTGAGAAGAATGGCTATCCCGACTCCATATACATAAATGCAGCTAAGATTTTTCAAGGCATTCGTACTGAAAAGAGTAAGGATAGACTCCTGGTGCGGTATGGCGAGAACTCAGAATCTCCCATGATGGATTTTAAAGATGAACATTCCAAGCGTGTATCTTATGAACTGGCTTTCAATGCTCTAAAATGTAAGTACGAAACTTACCCAAGAATTGCCAACAGAAATGATGCAGCAGAGAAAACATGGAAAAACAAATGTCTGGTGTCTGCCTGACAGCAGAGACCTGGGGAAATTTTTGTTATGCTTCAGGTTATTACAGAGTCACAGATTCACAGAATATTCTTAATTGGACGGCACCTACAAGGATCATCAAGAATGGCCCATAAGGGGATCGATCCCACAACCTTGGTGTTACTAGCACCCTGCTCCAACCAGCTGAGCTCATCTCAGTGGTTCTTTTCAGATCCTAATTATGGATGAATATATAAATTTACTAGACTACTCATATCCCTCAAATGTTTAAATATAGCTAAGTATTATTAGCATGTGTGAAATCAAAACATTTAAAGCTTATTCTTTTTCATGTAAATAAATTACATAAGATTGCTACTGTTGGTGATTGAATTTGCCCTCAATTTTCATGTTTAAAATTATAATTTAGTGATTTACAAGGTTTACATCCATAGAATTTTGTAGACAGTAGCATAACTTATCAACATTTTCTCCTTTTTACAGATCAAGATCTTCTTGAAGAAATGTTGTTAAATAGTAAAACTTACCCATGCTACTCAATAGTAAGTGAACATTTTTGTGAGGCATTTTTATTTTCTCTGTTCATATAATTAGCACCTTTTCTGAGGATTCTACAACATTCTTCAAAACAACCTTTGTTGTTTCGAACTACATGATAGCCTTTGACTGAAATATTGCTGATCTATTTACATAGTTGTCTAAAGCATCCATCTCCAAAGTCTGTTGTGAGATTCTGTTGCAACTAATTGCTGGGAGTCAAAACCTTCAAAGAGAGAAGTGGGAGAGCGAGCCATGAACTTTATTGCAACATAGTACTTATTCAGTGATACTGTCCATGTCCATGTGCTTTCCTTCCCAGCTGTGTCCCCTTGTGAGCAGGGAAAAAAAAGTTTCCTACCTATCCTTGGGAGTTGGAAAACATGGAGTGAATCCCATCAGACAAAAAAGTGCATTGACCCCATGGTTCATTTCCTGGGCAAACAGTACTGTATATAAATATTGTACTGGCAAAAACTGGTCCAGTTTACTCTCTTGACATGCTTTCCTGCTTTGACATGGAAAGAAATTCTGGAGCTGGCCGAATATTCTGCTGTTCCTTCCAGCTTTGTGTTTGATGCCTTTGAAAATCGCAAGATAAACTTGAGCTGATATTGTTTGTGGAGGTTGATGTGAGCAGGCAAATGATCTAACACATTTATCTTTGCCTTGTTTTTGGCAAGGAAGTAAGACTTTAATGTTAACATTTTGTGTTTGGTGGTATTTCCCTAATTACTTCAGTTTACTAACTAATTTTGGCCATATTTGTAAGAAGGTGAGACTTTTAGAAGGTGTGTAATAACTGTAAGAATTTAATGTAAAGAGGTAGACAGTAGTAAGTGAAGTGCAGTAGTTATCTCCTTAAGCAGGAGATACTTCCTGGTTTAAACATTCACACAGATAAAGGAGGTTTTCTAACTGAGCATTTTGGATGCTACATATGGAAGAATCCCACAAGACAGGAATAGATAGACAAGAAGTTTTTGTTAGCTTAGCTATTTAACAAACTACTTTATGAAGAGAATAATTTCAAAGTTTCAATTCTGATAACATTAAAAGTTAAGATACAATATTTTGTCTGTGTGCATGGAGAATGTTTTTAATTTTGATAATCTAAATCACACAAGTTATATATTTGAGTTTTAAAAAAATCTTTTTTAAATAAGTGTTTTATATACTCTCCACAAGTAATTACTTTCATATTCTTTCAAGTAAGCATTTAAGGATTTTTAATGCCTTTTACATGGGAGACTGCTGTTTGATATGGATCTTTTTGCAGAAATAAGGCATGCTTTGGGTCACTTTTTCTATCCAGTTGCTTTTCTCTTGCAGCCAGATGAGTTAACCAGCTTGCTCGTTGTGATGCTTTATGACCTACAAGACCGAAAGTTTAAAAAAAGAAAGATTTTTGCTGAGGAGGAACTTGTAGAAGAGGTTCAGGAAATAGGGGATTATTTATACAGGTATAAGTGCAAAGAGCTATTTTTTGTTGATATAGATATGTAAAAATGAAGATTTGTATAATCAGTGCCTTTTAAAGGTAATTATTAAAATGTCTTTCACCTTAAAATTTTGCGGGATTTTTTTTTTTATGAGAGCCTAGTTTGAAGGCAAATGTTCATATATGTATAGATATGAAAAATATAGATAACAAACTATCTTCATATTGTGGATTATTTTGTAGGCATCATATCTTATTTTGGCATTGTTGCAACTTTTATACAATTCTAGGAAGGAAATTAAATATTCAGTAAATATTCATAAATGCAAATGTAATAGAGTCAAGAGGTCATGGAATGGAATAACATTTGTCTATTTAGCAGTACTTCTACTATGAAATGTTGATAAATATTTATTATTTTAAATATTTAGAACAAAAACCAGATTACATAAACATTTTGATATTTATTATCTCTTTCATCAGTCAGTTGATTAATTCAAAAGGCATTTATTGGACAAAATTGTGTTGCTGCTGGATTTAGAATGGCCAAAAAAGTTCGTGAATCTCTTAAGTGCAAGGTATTTCTATAGGGCAGTAACTAAGATATCTGAAGTAGTTCACCAGCAATTTTTATTTATTTTGCATTATCATGTATCAAGAATATGCATAAAGCCTGTGGGAAGAAAAGACTGGAAATATTTTCTCAGACATTTTCTTGTAATAATAATAAAAGTGACTCCTGGTTGCCATCATACTTGTGTTGTTTCTGTACATGTTTAGGGGCCAGCTGCCATCAAATGCTCATTCTGCACATATATGTATTTACGTTTTCAATCATGCAAATGATCTGATGGTTGTATTCCACACATTGTACTTCCAAAACATACTGAGATTTTCTTTGAGCTGCCTGAGAAAATGGATGTGTTTGAGAGTCACCTGTTACAATTCCAGTCCTGCCTGATTTAATTAAAATAATCTTAGCTATTGACTAGCATCTTGCATCTTCTGTTGTCTAGGGTAGAAAATGTTCTGTAACTCTACTTTCTGTTGCAGCTTGCAGAAGGTGTCCCTTTTGGATTTGGTTTCTGGGCAAGATGGTATTGTAACAGAAATGTTGCATGCTAATAGCTGGTGAAAACATTTAAAAACTTATGAAACTTGTGACTGTTTTTATAGTTATAGGACCAAACTTGCAGCTGCACTAGCACGATGTCGCATCAAATATGATGCTCTTTCAATTGAATACTTTGTACCAGAAACCATATCAAAGCAGGAAAAAAGGGCTTCTGCTTTACCTGTCTGTTTTTGGATAAACACATTGAAAATCAGGTAAGGTGTTTAAAGTATCATCTGATATTGATGTTTTTGCATATGAAGTGATATAGTTTGCTACATACTTGTTTTAGAATTTCCAGGTTATATTTTTACTAGTAATTAAAAATTCTTACAGGAAGCTCTGCTTAGTCCAGTACCATTGTGTTTTAAATTTTTTTAGTTTTTATATATTGCAGTAGTGGTATTTCACAGTTTTGAAACAGTTCTTACTATTCTGTCTCTTGTGTGGGTCTTTCATGAAATAAATGAAGAAATAAAGTTAGAAAAAAAAAATATAGGTGAGTTAACTTGATGAAAAAAAAAAAGACAAAATGTCTTGAAAAGTAGGTGTAGTAGTGTAATCTTGGCAAAGGGTGTTAAGACACAGTTAATAAATAATAATTTATTTATAATAATAAACCTGCTGTTTATTCTGTAAGGATAGTGTAAACCTGAGATTAAAATACACTTTAAAAAGTCCTTATATTCGGTAGGCTACTAGATAATGTAACACTGATGTTCCCAGTTCTGTACTTACTGATACATGTACCATACCAGATTATCCTGTTATCTGTTTTGTTAGACAGATCCAGTGTAATCCATTTTATAACTTTCAAGAATTTTCAAGAATTTTGTTTTCCTACTATTGTCTTTCATGAATGTTCAGTGCTTAGGTTGTAGGCTTTTCAAGATATTGTATATTACTTCAGGTGTGACTTTAGAACCCTTAAATAGGAAATAAATAAAAGCTGCTCCATTCATTCCAGGTTTAATGTACTGTATAAATTTATGGCACTGTCTGAAACAGCATTTCGACAAACATCTCTTGCTATATATACCTGTAATACTTCATGATATTTGAATTGCTAACCTCAGCAGTTATGCCTTCATTTCATTTACACAAGGATTCTTTCAGTATCAGCCATTAAAATTATTGGTGAGCTGGGCTAGATTGAAAGCAATTGAAAGAACTGAAGCATTCCAGCAGTAAATTTATAAATAAATAAATATATAAAATATCTATTTTATTATTATATTAATAATTAATAATTATTACATTGATATATTATATGAAAGATAAATAAATTTTTTTTTAGTATTTACTACTGTGTCTCCTGAGCACATTTCTGTTTTGATACTTTGAATCATCCTCTGCAGACACATAACTGTGTTTTAATTAATTGTATCAGATTTATTAACTTAATTATTTCAAATCATAACTTACATGTCTAAAGTAGAGTAAGTTTCCCTCCTGCATTAGACAGTATGCATTTTATACCTATATATGTATGCATACGTATACACACAAAATAACAGAAGAAAAAAATCTTAAAATCAATGTAAACTATGTTGCTTAAGTAACTCTTATATATTTAATGGTCAGAGTTGTATGTTAACAGCCTTGAAGATGTTATCAGAGATTTGGAGATGAAGGGACTCAAAAAGGTTGAATCTGTGTCAGACTTTGACCATTATACGTATGCTGTGGACCAACACTGCCATGATGTATTGGTTTTTCCTTCCTCCCTTAGAGAAGAACTGCTTAATTTAGATCTTTTTGAAGATTGCAAACTCTTACTGCAGGTGAGTTGATGTTCAGCCTTGAGTCAGATGATCTGCAAAATGAAATAATTGCTTTGTATTAGGAAGAAGTTGTGTATTGTGTGACTATTCTATTAAATCAGGCAGCAACAATCTCTCATAAGGTCTTGGACATGTGTAATAATTAGGTTACAAACTGATCCACTTGCTAAATTTAGCATACTAATGTCAATGCTTATAATCGATAGCTACAATTAAGTTAGTAGAATGTTTTAAATTTAATCTTTGAGCTGTTGAACTAAATATAAAAAGTGATCAAAAGAGGCAGTCTCAATCCTGAAAATGTGAAGGAAGTTTCAACATAGCTCCATAGGCTTTCCCCCAGTTAGTAGATAGTGGTATGCTATTGTAATATTTCTTCCTCTTCAAATGCATGTTTGTGATGGAATGGTGACACTTCTTTGTATTTTGTGCAAAATACAAAGTTCCTTGATCTTCATAACTCTCACTGGTCTTTTTCCTGAATTGCCATCGTTGGACTCCCCAGTGAAGTTTGGTAGGAGGTTTCTGTTCTAGAGTAATGGTTTGCAGTAACCATGCAACAACAGAACTATGAATTATCTGAATGGTCTGATGATTCTTGAGTGCCTAGCAGAAACATTTCAACCAGCATTTTCACTAGATGTGTGAAAACTTTAGCCTCAAAATTTATTTGCTCAACTTAAAGTGACTCAGTATTCAATACTCTATTTAGGTTTGTTTAAATATAATACTTACAGAGAAGAACTACAGATGACAGCCCTAGAGATAATGGGAACAAATTCTGAGTGTTTCTACTTAAAAGTATTCAAAATGAGTACATAAAACCATCAAAACCTCCATCTCTGTGGTGGGGGGGGGTGGGTGGGTGGTGCTTGAATGCTGTATGTACATAGACAATGATGTGAACTCAAAGGCTTAGCACTTTCTCTTTCCTTTATCATCACTTTGTCAGATTTGGTGCAAGACCTGGCATCTGTGGTCATTATCCTCACTCCTTGCCTTTTTAAGTAATTTGTTAAAGTTTTCTCTTAATCACCAGTGTCAGTACTCTTGTGGAGCTGTCCCTGTGTTTTCTGCATTCCAATCTGCCTCTCTGTTGTTTGAATTTCAGCAAAATCTTGATCTTTGATCTACAAGGGCAACATTTCTCCTGTAATTATCATCAAGAATAGTTTTGCATTTCTCTGTTAAGGTGTCTCAGAGGATTAATTTTGCCTGAGTTGTATCCTCTGTTTGTCTTTTCTGGAACCAGCTGTTGCTAGGAGTGCCTCCTTATGGGGATATATGCTTTGTTTTCACCTATAGATATTATGCTTTTTTATGTATTATTTAGCATTAAGTTATTTAAATTTATTGAGTGACTGCTTGGTTTTGTAATTTATTTAATTCTGTATTAGCAGATAACCCTGATTAGTTTTTGTCCTCCCTTCTCGCCTATTTGTTATGAGAACTATGAAATACTTTCCTAATTTGGAAAAGAAGGTTAGCATCCATAGAAACCAAAATAGTTGATCATACTTAATTTTTGTGTCATTGTTTTGTAGGATAAGTCTCGGAGCCTTGCTGTACATGCTGCACAGGCGCTGTTGAGTGAAAGTGGTGATGTTATAGTGGCTCATGTAGGTTCCCATCTGACCGTTGCCCATATGTCAGTGCTGACAAACCACAGCACGTCCAAAATTTTTGTTTGTGGTGTGAAATCTTCAGCAAAAGAAGAAGAACTGAAGAACAGTTTCAGTCATATGGGATGTGAAAGTAGGTGCTAAAGGAGTTGGTATTCAAAAAGTATTGTAATATAGATGTTTGTGATAGCTGTAATTATGGACTTATTCTATCAGAACTCAGAGATCCCTTCTTTGGAGGCTTGGGCAGTAACAACTTTTTTGTCACAAGGTCAACTGATAGCTCTTCAGCTACAGTCAATTGCAGTCTAACCGTATCATAAATGCAAGCTCCTGAAACATTGGTGATATTTTCCATAGAAGTAGCTACTACGTACCAGTTGGTGTAGCTGGTAGCTGGGAACTTTTTGGTGTTTTGGCTGCTGCTTTCAGTCTGATTTCCAGCTGTTTGAGTGTGTTAATCCAAAACCAATGTACTTGTTCAGTTTACCTGGAGGACACAATCAGGACAGAATGCAACAAGATTGCAACCCATTAACTGTCTTTTCAGTGGAAAATGCAGCCCTTCAATCTGTTTGAAATCCATAGGCCGTATTTTGGAGGACCTGAATCTAGCAGGTTCTGGCTCTGTTGAATTCTGTGTAATACCACAGTCTCTTCACCTGTATCACCTGTAGGCAGGCCTGCTTGCAGTCTGTAAGTGTTGAGTTTTCACTATTTTTCAGATATTTGGTTGTTACAGGAAGACTTTACTGAACTTAAACCAACAGACCCCAGACTTGAAAAGGCAAAAGTTATTTTGCTGCTACCACAATGCTCTGAACTGGGTGCTGGCAATCCAATGGAGCTTATTTTAAGTGAACATAGAGGTAACTTAATTAAAACAATATCTAGCTCATGCTTTCTGGTAGAAAGAGATCCAAGTATTGTGGTCTAGATAGTGTGGCTGCTTCAGTAAATTGCATAATTTCATTAAAGAAACCTTCCTTATATTAATTACTATAAAACATATAAATTAACTTGCATAATTCTGTGACCGCTTCAGGTTGATAGTATGAAAGTTTGAGGGTAATTCTGGGGAGCAGAGTGTGTATAGCTTTTTTTTAAGTAAAAAGATTACTGGCAGAAAATTTATTTCAAGATACCAACATGTATATAATTTTCTGTTGGATTACATTTCTTTATTGCCTGTTTGTGTAAGTTGTGTCACTACAATTTTCATTAACTACAAGCAAGTAAGAGGTACCAGTAATTACAGGTAAAGAAGTAAAGCAAATAAATCAGGCATTCCTTGGTATTCTAATTTGTAAAACCTATCTTCCCACTGCGCCAGTAGCAACCAGGTCTGCTTCTGCAAACAACTGAATTTTCAGACACTAATACAAATTGCAAGACTAAATTTACTACTCTCTGCTTTTAGATTCAGGATTGCTTCAAGACCTTTTCCAGGGATTTGTGTCTGAGGATAAACTCAGAATTCTTGCTGAGACGCAGCTTAATGAGTTGGTTCATGCACTGAAATGTAAGTGTGCTAGTTTCCCAATTTCTGGGAAGACTCTGCACTATCATTTCCATTGTATTATCACCAGTTTTAATATAGTTAAAAATACACCAATTACTCTATTAATTAACAATAAGCATGTAACCAAACCCCCTGAATAATGATTTCCTCCAGTCTGAAGATGTTTCTGTGTCCTAGTGTCCTCCACACATTAATACAAGACTCTTCTGTATTGTGTAGAGAACTAGCTTATGGCTTAGTTATACTCTGCTTTGAAAATTATGCAAATGTAGTCTCCCTCTGTCTGCATGCTGCCACTTTGTTCCTCTCTCCTTTGGTAGCTGTGTGAAAAAACTGGAGACAGCTTTGACTTTGTGCTGAAATCTGCAAATATTTGAAAATACTTCAATTATTTTGAAATACTAGTGATCAGGAGGTGAAAGTGACATAATTTTAATGATGCTTTTAATCCTTACCAAACCACTGTCTGTATGAAGAATCTGAAGAGTAAAAAAAGTTGTGCTTTGTTTTGTAGTTAACAAAGTACAAGCTATTGTTTACTGCACTTGTTCAATTTACCCAGAAGAAAATGAACTTGTAGTGAGAAAAGCACTGGAATCTGGAGTGGAGGTAGATAAAGTACGACACAGGTACAGAATTTCGCTTTGGCCTATCAAATTTGAATTAATTTCTGCATCATTTATCAGGGTCATTGAAGGGATTCCTGGTGAACAGTAACTTATATACATCAATAAAATATTACCACTGGGGTTTTTTTTCCATTGAATAAGCAGATATAAAATCAAAAATCTGTATCATAAGACATAAGAGTTTTATTTAGTAATGCGAGGAGGATGTGAGCCTTGTAGCCTGTTTTATCAAGTTCCAAGGAACACAGAAAAAAATCCAGATCATGGTGAGAACTTGGAAACAAAGTTTTGCGGACTTTGCATTAAAAGTGAACTAACCAGCCAAATTAGGATATTACTTTCAAATATTGAATACATTTCTCTGTAACCATCTTTGAATAAAGCTCTGTTGCCAGAGGGTTAGTGGAGCATTAAGGAGTAGGACTCTTATCTTACACTCCTTAGCGAAGAGGAGGGGGTTATAATTACAAAAGGACATTTTGATAGTATTTTTCTGTACTGAGACAGCTTAATACTAGTTTGCCAGGCTTATGAGCCAAGTCCTTGAGACTGCTTTATAACAACCAGGCATTTCTGGAATACAAGGAGAACAGGAGAAGAGGCTAGTTCTTCCCTCCCCACCGATGCACTGCAAAACTGTAAAACTGGAGAAAGATACCTCAATTAGAACAAATAGAAAATTTTCCTAAACTATGATTTTTAGCTTAGATATTTATTATGAGCATATATAACTCAAAGCCAACACCTCTACAATTTCTGCAAGCTGCTTAGTGTTTTCAGATCACTCCCCAACTTCAGGGACAACTTGATAACTCAGTAATTACACACCTGATAAAGAACATTATTTTTCTGATTATGTATTTATTATCTGATGATTAATATACTTAATAATTGGGAAAAAAAGGGGAATTACTAAAAAAATGGAAAAAACACACCTAATTCTAAAAAGATGAATTCTCATGCCTTTCTTGAATTGCAGTTTTTTAAAATTATAATAAAGCTATGTTATTGAAAGACATAATTTGAAAATTACTTTTAATGTATCCTTGTTTATTTCCTTTTATATTCTTAAATATTATTTTCTGGTCTTCCATTTCTTTTTTACAGGCTTATTCCTTCTGTTTTTTCTACATGTTCCAATTCAGAGTCTTCCACTGAAATGTTTTTCAAACTGGAACCATCAGAAATTTCCAGTGGTTGTTTCCTAGCTGTTATAGAGAGAGAGGTAAGCTATGAAAATAACCATTTAAAATCACAGAAGATGAGTACTGTAATTTTCTATAGAAGAATAAACAAAATGAAACATTTTAAATAAAATTTCTGTCTTGTCTTCATCTGTCTTAAGACCAAAAGACAGGTGAGCAGTTGAAATGTGCCACATCTGGAGTTTCATGCTGAGCACAGCTTTAAAAGATGTGCCTGTTTTTCTGGAGCTGTTCCTGATCAGAGCAGGCCTTTGATCCAAGTCAGTGCCAGCAACATCCAGAGGAACTATTATCACACTGTATATATCACACAGTTACCACACTTTGGAATGACATACACAGCTTGATTAGATACACGATAAATGGTGTCTAGTATTGTATTTGTATCTATTTGTATTTGTTATATGTGTCACCAAGATTTTCCAGTATCCAAGCAGTCGAAATCTTAATCCCTATGGATGACACTATTATTATTTGAATAAAATAAGTATGAACATGTTTCCTTCCCAAACTAAGGCGTATGCAAATCTGGCTTGAAAGGCAGGAGGCTTTTGCTGAGTAAATGGAAAAGTCTTGGCATTATTCCTCAGGAAAGGCCTTAAAGGGCTAGTTTGCATCTCTGAGCATCAACATTTTCCTCTTGTCTCTAAGAAAAACACACATTTTTTTTTTCCACCAAAAGTAGAAGGGCTGTGAGGAAGAACTAATCAGAATTTCATTGCAGATTAAAGATAGGAGATCTTACTTGGTTATTTGTAGCATTTTGCGTCATACTGCAATTACAGTGCTTGAAAGAAGCTTGCCTCTTGGGAGAACTTAGATTCTATTAAGAGAATTACATATGAAAAACCTTTCAAGTAACCTATTACTGACCTTTTTCTTTACAATATTAAATATTTTTAACTTGGTCTGAGTTTTATTAATCATGCTATGTGCATCTCTCTACCATATTGTCTCTCTCCAGAGAAACAAACACTTTTGTTGCAGGTAGTTAATTCAAGTCATTTTTTTGGGGTCAAATTCTAATACAAAGAAGCAATTGCTCCAATGGCCAATTTCTAGGTGATTCAGGAAATGAACATTTTCCACAATGTAGAAGACATGTACTTATAATTTAAACTGAAATTCCTTCTTTACAGAAATCTTCTTCTTAGCTAGCTGTAAATTGTTTCTCTTCCATCACTATATACTTGGATGTTGACCTGGTTCTTAGTTTAAGAGCTCCTTACTTATTATCAATTACTTAGTATTATGAGCAAGAACTTTCATTACAGTGAAAATTATTAATATTTAATATTACTGATACTTGTGTATTTTAGTAACTATTTCTGATACACACACACAGAGGGAATGGATATGTATGTTCTTACAGACACATTACAGAGCAGGTCAGTGTGGGAGTGTGTTGGTTTTGGCTCGGGGAGTTAATTTTCCTCACAGTGACTGGAGTGGGGCTGTGTTTTGGATTGGTGCTGAACACAGGGTTGACAACATAGAGATGGTTTTGTTATTGCTGGGCAGGGCTTACACAGAACCAAGGCCTTTTCTGTTTTTCATATGGCCACACTGGTGAGGGGACTGGGGGTGCCTGGGAGGAGACACAGCCAGGACAGGTGACCCAAACTGACCAGAGGGATGTTCCAGACCATGTGACACCATGCTCACTGTATAAAGCAGGGGAAAGGAGGAGGAAGGGAGGACATTTGCAGTTATGGCACTTGTCTTCCCAGGGAACCACAGTCTTTATCTTAACTCAGTTCCCTAGCTTTACTTTCAGTTCCTTCCCAGATCCTGCTGGTGTGGGAGTGAGCGAATGGCTGTGTGGGGTTTGGTGACCAGCTGAGGTTAAATGCAAGTCACGCACACACATTACAGAGCCCAGAACTGATTTTCCCCTCTTTGGTCAGTAGAGAGGAAAGCCTCTGAAGAACAAATGCTCCAGTACCTCTTTACACAAGTCAAGTCCTTAATTCTGTGAATAAATAGTTTGGTTAGCATTTATCACATGTGACTTAAGTCCTTCTGCTAGATTCTGCTGTCTTTTTCTCATGGAGTAAATTCTGAGGAGCTCTGTATTGTGGCTTAGATTCATTATTGTTTCCTGTAAAATTTTCAGAAAGATATTTCCAAAAAAGTGCCTGCTAAAGACCTTTTGGCTTCTGCTACAGCAAAAGAACTACTAGATGGCATTATTGAAGAAAAACCAAAAGAAGAGGTGAAAAAGCAGAAAGTAAAACGTAAACATAAGGCTGCTGCTAGTGATAATAAGCCAAAAGCTGCAAAACTCCTTCACCACCAAACTGGAGCTAATGTTAAGGCTGAAGTTCCTGTGTCTAAAGCAGCCAGTAAGATAAAAGAAAAGCATGAGTGCCCGAAAAAAGCAGCCAGTGACATACAAGAAAAGCATATGCACCAAAATAAAGCAGCCAGTAACACATCACAAAAGACTGTGCACCAGAAAAAAGCAGCCAGTAACACAGCACAAAAGAAAGTGCACAAAAAAAAAGCAGCCACTAACACACCACAGAAGAATGTGCAGCGAACAAAAGCAGCCAGTAACACACCACAAAAGAAAGTGCACCAGAAAAAAGTAGTCAGTAACATACAAGAAAAGAATGCGCGCCAAACAAAAGCAGCCAGTAATGTATCCACATCTAAAGCAGCCAGTAACACACCGCAAAAGAAGGTGCCCTGAGCAGACAGCTGTGTTGGGCTGAAGAAATCTGTGAACTCTGATTCACTCACAGCCCCACTGGAAGTGCTGAAGCCCACATCTGTCACCTCTGCGCAAGGCGCATGAGACAGACACCTGCTCAAAAGGCACATGCAGAACAGAACAGGGTTGTACTGAAGGCCCCAACAATCACTTGGCCTCCACTGACAACACCATATGAAAGGTTGTAATGAAACAAAGCCAGGGTATCAACTTAACCTTGCTTTCATGGCCAGACTGGAGCACAGGGTCCAAGTGGTTGGATATTTCCACCACCCTGCTCAAAAACGGTCAAGCCAACTTGGCTGTATGAACCCTTCAGACTCGGCCCTCCCTTTGTAAAGAAGGTAAAAATTCCTGTATATTAATCAATACTCTTACATTACAGTATATCTTTATGCAAAGATAATTTGGCCTTGGGATTATAGGCTATTTATGTAGAAATATCCATGTTAGATAGTAACTTTTAATCCAGTAATCACACTAAAGTGAATGGAGCTCAGCTGCCAAAGATAGCTGATAGACTGTTGGGGGAAGTGAAGTGAAAAAACTATAGCCTCTTGCTATACACTTTAAAATGACAAGTTAAATCATACATCCAACCCCCCACATGATTTAAACCTGTACAAGTAATCAGTTTCAAATTAATGTTTTTAAAGTGAGACTGAATTTTTTAAAGTAGATTTTCTTTACAAGCCCTAGATCCCATTTTTGTGAATTTCCACTTAAAACTGATGCATAGAAAATAAGCCTTGCACAGTAAGCCTGTTAGCTCATTTTTTATTTCTAAAACTAGATGTGAACTTTTGTACAGGAAACTGGCCGAGTACATTAACGGCCCTGCATAGGCTCTCTAGTACATGTTCTCTTAGTTTCTACTAAAGTGTGAATTGAAATACTAACAGTGAAAAATAGATCAAATATTCTCATGCTAAAAACACTGAACTGTCATCATAATGTTATATCAAACTATGTCATGGTTCATAACTGCTTTTTTTATCAATTTCTTAACATAAACAGTTCTTAATTGAAAAGAGCTGCTACTGTCAAAGTAACATTTTTATAAATGTTACCACTAGTCAGCTGAATAAGGACTGGACAAAGAGTAGCTGCCTGTCTTTGGAAACAGCCATGGGCTTCTAAGCTGCTCCCTTTTGCTAGCAAAGTTAAAATAACTGTAAAATATCTACAATTGTCTTGTAATCTGAGTAGAGGATAAAGGGAGGCACAGAGAAACTTTTAATAATAAATATGATTTGTATTTAGAACTTGTAAAAATGAAATAGACACAGCACAGCAATACAGAAAGGCAAAGGTAGCTGTGGCCCAGAAATTTTCCTCTAGGCAACCATTTCAGGTACTTGGCAAGAGTGTTGCCAGGAGTATCACCAATATAGTGTGGAACTTAACCGATTTGACAAATGGGTCTGGATTTAGACCCATTCAGAGAAAATGTTATAACATCCCTATTTTGTCTTCAAAATAGTCAGTGTCACTGGGTCAGCAGTACCTTTTTAAGAAAAGATGTGAACGATATTACACCAGCAGTGTAGACAGCTGGCTCTTGTTCATCTGATAAATATCCTTGCTTCACTGAATCAGTGAAAATTTCTTTTAGCATTTTAATCTGAGCCAGCTGTCCTACTCAAAGACATCCCTCACCTTCTGCATATCCCTGTGAGCAATCCATGCTCCTAACCTGTCCCAGTAACATGGTGAACTCTACTCTTATTTCTGAACAAACCTGTAAGGATAGATTCTAGGAGGAGGAGAGATTCTACATGTTGGATACAAGGAAAGGATACACTACGGAGACTTTTTTTTTTTTTTCCAATATATGGTTGTTAAATGCTTGTTAAATAAACTAAAGAGATTCTGCAGTTAAAGAATGATTTTTTTTTTTAAATAAAGATCTGTATCATTCATTATTAAAGTTAAAATTACTTGTAAAACACATAAAAGTGTCTAATAATAATAGAATTTCTGGGCTACTTACGTAATATGTGCCATGATGTTACACACTTGGCCTCATCTTGCTCTCAAGAATTTGCCTTTTTAACACAATATGGAGGTTAAACCAGTTAGAATCTTGGTGTCTTACCAAGAATATCAGAGAGTGAATATTTCAACTGCAGGTCAGCAGCTTACTTTGTAAGCATGGAACATCAGATGGCAGCAATATCTGGGACTGACTTCAGATGGCTTGTAGGTAGATGTCTATAACACTCAATGACTTTTTAGAGTAAAACTGTATCTTATGTAACTATTTTTTCTGTAATCCAGTTGTCTGTAATTTTCAACTAGAAACTCTCGATTCAGCTTTCCAGATACAAAACTCTTTATTGTACTGCTATTGCCTCTAAACCACCAGTATATTTTTCCCTTTCTTCAGCCACAGTTTTGAACAAAATAATTTCACAATTTCATGGAGCAGTAACAGTTGAGACAATCACTTTATGCAGCTAAATTTATTCTCAGAACAGATTACATTTAAATGTGGAGAAGTGGTCAACAGCAGGGAAAATTGTCCTTTTTGTTGCCAGCTAGGTAATTTTATGTAAGACTGGGCTCTGCTAATTAACAGTGTTTCCTTCTTTCTTAATGCTGTTAAATCAAATCTACACTGGCTGATGGGATAGCACATGTTGTGGCAATGTGTTAATTAATGTGCCCAAGAAAGGAGTAATGCATTTGGGGGTAATGCTGAAATGCTGAGCCCATACTTGCTCTTGAAATGAGAATATTCTCTTTTCCATGGGTGATGTACTAACAATTTTAGCTTCCATGGTAAATGATCCATGAAATGCTTGATAAAATTAAGAAATGTAGAACTGTTAGTGACAGAGAACTGGTGATATTCCACAATTTTTGTTCTTCTGCCACTAAAGGGCATAATATTTCTGTTAAGTACCTGTGAGTCTGCACAGGAAGTATATCACTAAACCTCGTTTTTCTGTGAATGGATTCTCTGCCACTCCTGTGCTATTTTTGTTATTCCCAGTGAACCACCCTGTAGGTGGCCTCCATAGCCTTGCACCTCCCACACTTCCTTGCTCCCCTGTAAATGAAAGTAAATGGCTTAAATAAAACCTACAGCCAGCACTACAGGTTTCAAAAGAAAGGCTTTTATCTATTAGTCATTGACTGAATATAAATCTCCTTGCTTCTGCAAGGGAGCATGTTAATGACATGACTGACTGACATGTGATACCTCTAACTTACTACTTGCATTGAAAAAAATTAAGAAATTAGCTTTGCTTTACATAATTCTTCTACAGACTTCAATAAAAATGCGACTACAAATAATTACAAAGCCTGCCTTTTTTAAGGCAACCTATAGTATACAGAGTGGAGAATATTACAAGAGCACATCCAGTAAAGACAATACATCAACATAATAATGGAGGATATTTCAGTAAAAATAGAATAAATAAAATAAAAATATTTTAAGCTGTATTTACCAGGTTAAGTTAGAATATGGCATCAGACATACAAGGCATAGTGAACATGGCTGCCGGCCTACAGAACCACTAGGTATTATAAAAAATGCATAGATAACTGAAGGGTTGCTATAACATCAACTAGAACAGTTGCAGTTGCTCACACACACACACACACACACACACATCCCATACATACTTTTTTTGGCCGTGGTAAAAAGAGTGTCTGAATATATTGTGAAACAAAAGATTTGCAATAATAGGCTCTGATTCTGCAAACACCTGGGTGTATATTAAATCTCTTGGAGAATACGGAGCTCTACTGAAGCAAAAAGGCCACATATAGTCAGATCATTAAGCACACTACTTCAATATTTGCAAAATCAACAACATTTTGTTAACAGACATAAACCTTTTAAAACATACACTGGTGAGTGATGTACAGCTTTTCAAATACCTTTCTGTCTTCTCCTCAGCCCTGGCTGCAGTTGCACACATTGCTAATGAAAGCTAACTAGATGTTCCTAGCATTGACAACACGGATGTAGAACCTTTACACTGCTGTTTGCTAAGCGTTGCTTTAGTTAAAGAGAGTCTGGAACTCTCATGGGGAGAATCAGCACTCTGCCATGACAAAATTTAATTATACTGTTTAAAATTAATTTACTGCTGTACAACAGTTGCCAATCCCAAATCACAACATTGTCAGCAGGAACTTTAAAAAGACACTGTCAAAGTATTTAATTTAAAATAAAATAAAATGTGAATCGCTAGCACAATGACAAACAAGAAAACTTTCATCTCTTAACTTCACAATCCTACCTAACGGTATGGTGTTAGCCACCAAAGTTTGAGAGCAGTCATCCTTGGAAATGTTCAAGACCAGGTTGGATGGGCAACTTTGGTAGAAAGTGCACCCCTGATAGGGGTTTGGAACTAGATGACCTTTGAGGTCTCTTCCAAACCAAACTGTTCTGTGATTCTCTGATAGGAAGTGAGTTTTACACTGCTCCTAACAGAGGTGACTGGGATCAGTATTGGGAACTAAAGAAGCTATATGCAAGCTGCCACCCCTATGCTTTGTGATCTGGCTCCATGGTCAGTTAAACCACAGGTACTGCTAAAGGGGGTGAGTTTGTTTGTACTCCCTCCCCTCCAGCTCTACCTGTGTCCCCAGTATAAGCAGCTTCTCCAGCTGTACAGGCAATGGAGGTGGTGCAAAAGAGGCGGCAAGAGTGTGAGCCTCGAGTGGGGGAATAGTTGCTTCAGTGCCTGAGGTGCAGAATCGTGCTCATGAAAAGATCTGAGATCCGTAGAGGATCAGCGCTTCAGAGGGCACTGTAGAAAGTTAAATTTAATTAAATAGTTGCATAGTCAGCCTTCACCTGACGCTTGCTCATACATCATGCCGAGTTTAGTAATGATTTTCCTGCATTTCTCAATGCAGAAATTTCTTGAATCATCACTCTTTTCCTGTTGTGCTCTTAAGTTACTTTGCCAGGTGTGGTCATTAATTTCTTCAAACAAGGAAATAAAAAAGAAAATAGTTTGTTTATAGCAGTCTCTTGCATAATAAAATAAAAAAAAAAAGAGTTATTGTAACAAAAACCTAGCCAGTGATCCTTTATCATTGGAGTATGACAAGATTTGCAGACTTGGGAGACAGGCACAATTTGGAACCTAGCTATAAATGGAGGCAAA